CCGAAAAGTAGAAAAGCCAAGAACGCCCTGGATGGCTGGCTGCATGCGCCGCAGATTGGCTGGGCTGTCGGTGACAGCGTTTGGAGTTGAATTGCATTTGAGGAGTTTTGAAATAAATAAATTTGCGAAAGTTTTGAAGTTTTGTTCGAATTAACCGCGAAATTCGCGAAGAAGTGCAGTTTCGCGAGCTTTGCCGTTTCTTGCTGTTTTTCTTCCTTTTGAGCGGAAGTCCGCGCAACTTGCCTCCAAAATGATTTTTACTTCGCAAAGAGTCCTTTGGAAATTGTTTCCGCGACTTGCACAAGATAAAGTGAGGTGGATGCGGCTTTACTGCATGGCGACGTTCGGGCTAGGTCTGTCTGTACACCTGAAACGCACACTCCGGTTCCGCACAGTTCCCGAATCGTTTTTCTCCATTTTTTCGCCACTTTTCTTTTCTTTTCGTTTTCTTTCTTCTCAGGCAAATGCGTCTTTTGATTTGCTTTCAATTGATGTGCTATAACCCTATTTTAATTTGCTTTTGCCTCCTGTTTCCGCTCTGATTCCTTAAGACTACGCTTTCGCCGCTGCGCACTCCAGCCTCGTTTCCAAACACTGCAAAGCCGCATTTAAACGACTTTCTACGGTTTTGCCTTTCTAAATTAAATTGAAAACTAAACTCTAATTAATATTCGTGTTTTGGTGCTTCAGATCTTCAGTGCTTTCCAGCCATTTGAACAGCATGTCAGGACATGTTGCATGCAGTTCAACTTGAATTTTTTGATTTTTTCGAATTTTTGCGGATTTAATTCATTTTTTTTATAATTAATGCCGCCAATTGCTTTTAATTTGCATGCAACTGGGCCTTTGCGTGTCAGTTTCCTTTCAATTTCGTTTTTGAACTTTTGCAACTTTCTGCACTCGCAGGCGCCGCAGCCTGCACCTGGGCCGGCCAGCAAGACTACAGCTCCAAGCCCAGCCGCACCACTTTCTTTTACCGCCAGCACTTAAAAGCTCTTCACAAAAACAAAAAAATCACCGACGAAAAATACGCGCGGCTGCTCACCGGCGTCGACCTCTGACTGCGCTGTACGTACACCCCAATGCGCTGTACGTACACCCCAACGCGCTGTACGTACACCCCAACGCGCTGTACGTACACCCCAACGCGCTGTACGTACACCCCAACGCGGTGTACGTACACCCCAATGCGGTGTGCGTACACCGCGCGCGGTGTACGTACACCCCAACGCGGTGTACGTACACCGCGTTGGGGTGTACGTACACTGCGTTCTGCAGGGGCCCCAGGCGCATGCAGTTCCAGAGTTAGGTCCAAGTGCCTCGAAGTATGTGAAGAATTACCTTCTTTTGCATGCATTTAAGTGTTCTTAAATGCATGCAAATGCCCGCAATCTTTGCATGCAATGCATGCAAATGCCCACAATTATTGCATGCAAATGTCCCCAATTGTGTTCAAATGTTCGTAAAACAAAATCACTAATGCAAAAGTGTATTACAGAAATAATAAATACATGCACAAAAAGGAAAAGTTTGGGAATTAATTTGCAGGGTATTTGCACTTAATGGGAATTAAGCATTTAAAATAAATGTATATTCACTTTTTGCGGGCTAGCAGCAGCGGCGGCAGCAGCAGCTGCAGCTGCTGCTGCTGCTGCTGCTGCATCAGTGCCTGCAGCAGCAGGTGCTGCAGGAACACAAGGGGCCTCAGGGCCTCAACGCGGATTTTTAGAGTCAGGCCGAGCCAGAGGGTTTAGGGTTTAGGGTTTAGGGTTTAGGGTTTGCGGCGTCTTGGGCGTGGCGTCAAACGTGGCGGCGAGGTTTCCTCGGGAACCGCAGCTGCCTACGCCTAGGGTTTAGGGTTTAGGGTTTAGGGTTTAGGCAAAAAGAGAAGAAACAGCGTTTGTGTCCCTCTGCTTTGAGAGAAACAAAAGCCCAAAAAGGCCGAAGTGGAAAAGAGCAGTTTTGTGTCGTTCCGTTGGGGTGTACGTACACCTCAACCAGCCCGCGCAGCGTGCATGCTTGCGGTGTCTAGACACCGCAAACACGCAGCGTCTGCATTCTTCGAAAAGATGAAGAAAATAAATATAAATAAATTCGAAAAGATTTATAATTTCCATTCCAAAAAGACAAACTAGTGGAAAGCGAGGGGCCACGCATGCGCGCATGCACGGCTTTCCGTGCATGCGTTTATTCACTCCTCTGCATGCGTTTATTTACTTCTTTGCATGCGTCGGTCCACTCTTTGCATGCATTTATTTGCTGCTCTCTGCATGCATTTGTTTGCTGCTCTCTGCATGCATTTGCTGCTCCTTTGCATGCATTTATTTGCTGCTTTCCGCATGCATTTGGCCCAACTTTGGTTCTTCTGGCAAACAGACTGTCCGCCAAGACTCTGAGCCTTTTGCCCCTGCGGTGTACATACACCGCAGCCAAGAGTGCATGCGCATGCGCTGCAGTGGACCACTGGTCTGGTCCGGCTCTTTCTGCTGCTGCATGCATGCGCTCTGCATGCATGCGCTCTGCATGCATGCGCTCTGCATGCATGCGCTCTGCATGCAGCAAACTCAGCAGCTCTGCATGCGCATGCAGAGCCCGGCTCTTTCTGCCGCTGCATGCATGCGCTCTGCATGCATGCAGCAAACTCAGCAGCTCTGCATGCGCATGCAGAGCTGAAAAGAAAATGGAAGAGCCTTCAGACCCAGCCAAAGCCAGGCCCGAAGAGCTCCGTAGTCTTATCTTCGTAGATATATATACATGTATATATATATATGGTATATATATATATATGCATATATATACTATATATTTCTTTTCTTTATTTGCCATACATATATATATACATATTATATATATATAATATATATATATTCCTTTTCTCCTTCCTGATTTGTTATGTATATATATACTTTTTACTCCGTATTTGTTGTATATATAAATATATTACACGTACATGTATATATATATATATATATATGTATACATTATATAGATGTATGTATAAATATATTTATATATACAGTTGTATATATATAAACATATTATAAATATATACATATATGATATATATAAATATATGTATAAATACTACATCTATACATACAGTTGTATATATAAATATATCATACATATATGTATGATATATATATAAATATTAATACATATATACATACACAGTTGTATATATAAATATATTATAGATATATATATATATATATATATATATAAATGTGTGTATAAATATAAGTATACATAAATGAAGTCACCCTTGTGCAATGCTGTCAATATAAACAACTTAATAAAAGAATAAAACTCATATTCATTTATATTTCTTTGTTTTTATTTATTTATATTTATTTGTATTTATTTGCATTTATTTGCACACAATTTTATTCACAGAAAATGCGCATGTGTACAGTGTACGCATGCACTCCCCAAAACCATTCTGGTGTACAGACACCCGAGATATATATATAATATATTTTAGAATTTTATTTCGACTTCAATATATATATATATATATATAATGTATATATTATATTTATGTGGCGTCATATAAATATAATATAATGAATATATTATATTTATAATGCTGCATGCATGCATGCTGCATGCATGCATGCTGCATGCATGCAAATAAAAAACGGCCATAAAGCCCCACTTACATATTTAATATATTTATTATAAAACTGCTGTTTACATAACTGCATTACATTTATAAAACAAAAGATTATATACAATTCATATTATAAGCAATATATACTTGTATATTAAATGAAGTGTGGACATTATATATATTATATTTGTTATTATATTTATTGTAAATATATTAAATATATTATATATATATTATAAACAGGGTAAAGATAAACTAACAGATATTCACTATTTGGAGACCCTCCTGCGCCGCAGCAGCAAAAACGCCTGCAGCGCAGCCTCTGCATGCGTGCATGCATGCATGCATGCATGCATGCATGCATGCATGCATGTGGAGCTCGACTGCATGCATGCATGCAGGCCTCGAATGCTAGCATGCATGCAGGGCCTGACTACATGCATGCATGCATGCATGGCCTGATAGGAACGTGGCCAAAACCGACATGCGGTGTACGTACACCTGGAAGTGGCGGCGTGCAGACAGGAGGTGCTGCTGCTGCTGCAGTCGCGTGCTGCAGCTGCTGCAGCCCCGTGCTGCAGCTGCTGCACTTGACTGCAGCAATTAATTTTGAGAAGTTTTATTTATTTTGAGAAGTTTTATTTAATCGAAAATGCAATTCATTTGTCTTCGGGCCCTTCCGCGTCTGTGAGGCGCAGCGCGCTCAGCTGCTTCTCCGTCTCCGCCGCTGCTGCTGCTGCTGCTGCTGTTGGCGTTGCTGCTGCTGCTCTTGGCGTTGCTGCTGCTGCTCTTGGCGTTGCTGCTGCTGCTCTTGGC